TAAATACATGCTTATCACTAGTGCTGCTTTCGCTTATTTGATGGCCTTAAAGTAATTATACTGTATTTTCTTGTAAATCGGCCATCAATTTTAAATAATTGATAAAAATATTTACCCCAGTCGAGTAGAAGGGCATCGACAAATTTTGATAAAGGGTCCGTGTAAGGGAAGTTACGTCGAATATCGGCAATTTTATACAACAAAAATCCCATAAAAATATTTCTATGTTCGTTTTTATCAGTTTTAAATTAAATTTGGTAATATTGGAAAAACTCTTGGAAGTTGCGCGTCCTGAGCCAAAGAAGATTTTTTTAATTGAATTTAAATCGACGAAATAAAAATGAATATTCTCTGCCTGCTTTATCGAAATAACAAAACTTATACGCATGTAGGTGAAAGTTGTGATAAAGCATAGTTCAATTTCCAAATGAAACCACATTTATTCCACCATTGCCCGCACCTCTTGGCAACAGTGACCCATAAATTGCGCAGCGGGGGCGTGACTAGATGTTCCTTAAATGTGCCGTAATTCCCCTGAAATTAATTTTGCTATAGCGGCTGCGGCCAATTGATTTTCGTTCCCGTAAATTTGAATTTCAAGTTACATTTACAATGTTTAACACGCGATCGCAACACTGTTTAATTTCTCATATCCATACCCAATATCGGTAATAATTCAGGTTTAAACTGATGCCGGGTATAAAATTTATCGTGATAAACTTAATTCGAATTATTGATCATTTGAGCGTATATTTTTGAAACGTAAAGTTAAGCGCATGTCGTTCTTAATCTGTTAAATTATACCATACCTTTTGAAAACGATTTCACATCGATGTTATTAGTTGCTAGTATTACCTCTGTATTTGGAATTGAATATTAATGAGCATTTTTAAAATAGAACGGTCAGGGAATAGCTTTGAATCATTCGAGATTGTGCTTGGTCTCTTGTGATTTTTTTTGGCAGATAATTTATTATTACATATTTTAGTTTGTTGAATCAAATTGGGGTAGACAACTTTTGTATGGTGACAATATATTCCGGGATATCATATCGACTATTTATCAACTTTTATTTATATTTCTGGAATACTCGAAGATATCAGACGACAGGTAAATAAAAATAATTATAATCTTAGGTGCCAGCCTAGCAGCAGCTTAGACTTGACCGGTCGTAATACCCTGTTCCCGGCTTTACCCCGATGTCAAATTTTCCGTGACATGTATTAAGAGATAAATTGCTAGTTACCTAAAAAAAAGTGGTGTGAAATAGTTACACACCTCTACCTATGCTAATGGGTAAATTTAGAAGAATGCATTTCCTAAGATTTTAATTGCACTTGCTTTGTTTAAATCTGGTATCTTTTAGTTCTCCGGAAATATGAATCAAATTAGATAGTTATAGCATTGGTAAAGTTTTTCAAAATGGTATACGTTCTATCGATTCTAATGGATTACTACTACTGCCAGTATTGCTGCAGAACTTACCGCGTTGATGTTGATAATCGAATTTAATACATCCACTTATAAATCCCAACTAAAGCAGCAAACGGACTCAACAACGGCGTTAGACTTGAACCTTCGCCGCAGTTAATTTGACGAGCTCAGGGAATTTTATATAAAACCCTCTCGGCCAGAAGGGGATAATTTATACCGCAAGGTAGCCTAGATTTGCTTCGGCCGCATTAAACTGCATTAAAACATTAACTCCACATGCTGCGCAGCTTATAAACTATCTACAGACTAACAATGCAATTAGCGTTGAATCGACCAGGAAACTAGGCGCTTTCAAAATACACATTCATAACAAACATATAATTTACACCAGAGACTGTTACTTGTATCTCATCTATATTAGATGCGGTGATATCGAATCTGTTCACCTCAAATTAATACGAAACTAAAAATTTCATTTCATGCAGCTCTGTGAATATTTTTTTAATATGTATTAGGATATATCAATTAATATACAATAAAACAACTTCGAACACAAGGTTTACTTAGTTGTGGTTCGGTCAAAGTCTTTCTCGCGTCATTCATGCTATTTGACTTTTTTTTTTTAAATAATATGAAATACCTATTTGTTTTTAATAAATTATAACTTCCACACTAATACGCTGCGCATACAACATATGCCTCAACCTTCTAACGGTTCTAACTTTCTATTCCCTTATCTAAAACACGCAAATATGCACTGCTGTCACTCCGCTCGTTACTAAACTGTCGTTTATAAAATTTATTGCATAATATAACATTTTCTACTACCTACTCTTGAAAATCTTGAATTGACACATCAAATTCACTGAATACTATGGCAAGCCACTTAGGGCATTTCTGGTGCTTTAGTCACGGGATGTGAGCTATGGGATTTTTTCAGTAGATGTTAAACCATAATGATATTTGACGTTTGTCAGTTCTGATGGCCACGTCACTCAGTGAAATGTATTTATGGTTTTTAGCAAAAATATAAAAAAAGATTCTGGTGGCAGAAATAAACTACTAACACCATTACGATCTCAATGAAGTACATGGAAACCAATTACTATGCTCCACAGTTTTACGGAATGCTGAGACACACCCCTCGACATTAATACGATATTAATTTCATAGTAGCTACTCACGGTAAGAAGAGTACCATCAAAGAAACTAGCGAAAACGGCAACATTGTGAAAGGAGTTTATAGTGACTTTTCTTGTTTTGAGGTCGACATGCGTTAGATGCAATTTTAAATTAACCCAGGGTGCGTTTTAATTAGTATTTGTTCGTTGAGCAAAATCGTTTCCAAAAACTCCGAAGCAACTGATTAAACAATGTTTTTACCCCCAATTTTTCAGCAAAAGGCTAATTAATATGTTTCACTTTAGAATTATATAATGTTTACGTCAATATAAAATGTTATGGCCAAGTAAGTATCCACCTTCATTTTAGTCTCTTTCCGTGTTGGAAAGGGTGTGAAATTTATATTTATATACGATTTTGGACTTAGAAATTTATTCATGCGATATTCTTTGCTAGTTTATTTGAATATTCATCGCCATTCATGACCGCTCACGGTCGAATATGTTGCCTATATTAATATAGAAGTTGGCCTTTACATGTTCGTCGATTAACAAACTTTATGGGCTATGGGACATTAACGAACCCTTTACGAGTGGCATGTCCACGCAAGGACCGGTGTAATCAAGAAAAATTTGTTAAGCGACTTAATGCTAAGGCTGAAACGTATTACGCTACACTTTAATTGATAACAGCCGTCGGCTTTATCGATGGGCGCTAATAGGCCATTTATTTTTCCTTATTGCGTGACGCAGTGGAATACTTATTTCCGTTGAAACACACTAATGTGTACGATAACGTTCGGTGTCAAAAAGGACATTACGTCTTGGCAAACTTAACATTAGTTGATAATTGTTTGTGTTTATTATGGATCCCTGAGTTCAAGGTGGTTAATAAATAAAAATGCATCCTGTAAAGGAACCCTAAAGATCTTTTTTTTAAGTGGTTTGTTAGAAAATTAAACATTTTTTGATGACATGTTACAGAAAGGGGCATTTTCGGACGCAAACTAACGTTATTTTTCAATGTTCTTTTTAGCTTAAAAACTAAATGAACATTTTTTAAACACCTAGTACATGCCCCTTGTTTTGCCAGTTAATAAACTAAATAAAATATACAAAACAAAAGTAATTAACCAAAACTAACCATTCATCTTTCCATAAAGTTGCTTACTTAATTAGCGCCCTGTATTAATCGCAGGGGAAAAAATGTTAAATTTCATATTTTATCTTTAATTTTAATTTCCCAATTATTGCCGGTAACCTCTAGTTCTAATTAATTAGCTTCTAGAGATTTTTCTAGAGATTTTCAGTAAGAAAAAACCCAGTTATCTTATGAATAGGCTAGTTATTAATTTTTCAAAGAAACTTCCACAGGCTACTGAAATACTATTTACGAAACTTCTGGATTCCTCCTGAGTAGGTTGTTGTTCAGCTGAACTTGCTAACGTTTCGCCAATTATCCTGTTGGGTTCTTCATGTTTCAGTTCACCTCTGAAGAAGCCAACAGGAAGATTGGCGAAACGTCAGCAAGTTCGATTCAACAAGAACCGACGCAGGAGGAATCCAGAAGTTTTGTAAATAGTAGGCTAGTTGTTGCTACACTTATTGGACATGTTCTATCATAAATTTATGAGTCTTAGGTAGCAGGTGACATAAGTAGTTAACAATTTCATTTTTGATCAGGCGGTGGACATATAAAATTACAAAATAAACTTATATTACTAGGCTGTTAAAACTAATTTCACTTCAAATATATTCCGTCATTTCTGACTAACATAACTTCCTGTATATCATTTTTCCAGCTTCTTGGTGGTCTTGTTCTTTTTTTTTCTGTAGTACCCATGATTATCTTTGCTCACTTACTCCATTCTATTCTTAGCACATGTCTAGACCAAGTGAGCATTTTAGTTTCGGTAGTTATTTGTCTTTTGCTGGCTTACACGCGTTCCATCCTTGAAATGACGATCTAGCGACCTATAACCAACAATCGTTCTTTGTTCCTTTTTGTTAAGTCCTATGTTATTGATCTATACTTATTTAAGTTAAGAGTTAAGTTATCTTGTAAACTATCTTTTATTGCCCTATTTTGCGTGAGATATCTTCATTGCTTTTCCGGGATTTGGAGAGCGGTACTCGTAAATATTTATACTGATTGCAGTTTTGCACTTTTATAGTTCACTAAATTCGTTGTCTTCAGTAGGATATCCTCTAATGTTTTCTTTGTATTTGTAACTGCGCCATAGTCTTCAAATCGCTTTTGTAAAGTCCTTAGCATATAACTGGTACAGTTCGTGTCGGTGTAAATCACAATCACTATCTATTATGGAAATCTGCTAAAAATGCTAAAAATAACCGTTCGACTGCTGACGATTTGGTGTTCTTCTCCAATTAATGCGAAAGAAAGGATTTGATTCTGCAGTAACATTTTTTTTTTAATATTTTCAGGGTTGACGGTCGTGAGCGTCATTTCGATGTGGCCGAACGCTGGTCGGACGAGAAAGTGTTCTCGAACCGTGCGTATTTTATCCAGGACAAACAACCCGCGGAGCTCGGGATCGATCACATCAGGGAAACCGACCAGGCCGTGTACCGGTGCAGGGTAGATTTTAAAATAGCGCAAACGAGAAACAGTATGGTGAACCTCACCGTTATCGGTGAGTTACGTTTCCTGCGACTTTGTCTATATACGGTTTGCGTTTATTTCGAAACAAGTTGAATTGACCGTGGCACACATTTACAGCGTGGCCTATTTGAAAGGGGAACGTTAGTGTAAGTTGCGCGTTTTTCAAACGCTTGTGAAAAGTTTTTTTAATTTTGAGTCATGCATATAGCACTGTATTCAGGGACAAATTTTATTAATTTTAGTTTTCACTCTATGAGAATTTACCTTATCAGAAGAGGCAAAAACTATAAGCTGATAGCGGCTGCGCTAGGAAAATTATTATTATAATAAGAGGCACCATAGAAGTCGCTTTAGTAAAAAATCCTAAGTAGGAGTTTACGTTAAACATCACTCAGAAATGTAATATTTAAGAAAATAATTCTTCCAAAGCTACTTTAGCAATAAATACTAATAATTTTAGTAAAAACTATTAAAGTGATTCAATTGGAAAAAGTGGTGTAGTAACAAGCACTAATTTACTTAGATGACTTATTAACATATACTAGTCAACTAAGTTTGCAATAATTGAGTATTCACCATTTTAGAAAATTTAATACATCAGGAAGAAATATAAAATACATTGCACATAAAAGAATAGAAGAAGAATCAACGTTTGATAATTTTTAACCTGCTCTTCAATTTTTGTAAATTCTTCTAACAGGGGCTATGCAAACCATAATTTGTTGCTCTAAAGACTAAATGAAATAAATCTATAGATCTGGTTCTATATTCGATATCGTAAAATTTAACTTCGATAATAAATACCTATTACAGTCAAAGACACAACTAATTGGTTTAAATGCAAAACCTAAAAATCGGAATGTGGCCTTTGTAGTTGGTATGACCACTTACTTTAAGAATTCTTAGTCTAAATTCATAGAATTTTTTTCGGGATTTTTTCTGTGTTGTCTGCTTGCACATAAACAGGAAACCATATCTAGCTTTCATATTATCAGCATTAAATCTAGAGCCAAAACCTAAGCTTCTATATGCTCGTGCGGTGAGAATATTTATGGCATAATTCGGACTTAAGTCAAACTCCAAGACCATTGACTTGGCTTATTCTTCTTAAGGTAATTAAAGTTACATATATAAAATTATGTTGACATGATGTCATAAAAAAAAGTTTTCAATTCTTTTTCTCTGAGTTCGCGTAGTTTTTATTTGAACAGATAAATGCTTCAATCTATCATATATAGCACGCTTGTCTTACAGTTAGTAATAAAAAAAATGTTACCATAAAATCGAAATTTCCAGAACGCGGTACTGCAAAAACCTGCTGTGCAAGCTTTCTTGCATAGATCAAATAGCTAGCTGTGAGTTTATTATCAGGATTAAATTATATCTGTGTATATTATAAAAGATTAAATAATTTGTTATGGTTAAAACCTTAAGTAAATTCTTGATGTTAAAATGTGCAGCCGCAGCATTTTAGATGCAGTTGTGCATGTAACGGCAGTGAAAAAGTGATTACAAAATATTGATTTGGTTTTGGTTCTTATAATTTTATATTTGGGTTAATCGAGTTATTTACAGTAAAATTTCTCATAAATCATGATAAATAATAGTAATTTATTTGTCTCATCTCGTAGACAAATTTTCATTGGAATCGATCCGTTCCAAACCTTCGATTTTGTAGGGCATTTGTTGATCAACACTTGCTAAATATCGAAATTTAACAATTTGTAATAAAATTTGACACACCACTTCAAACCCTTACCCTTATGAAGCGCTCGCAGATGAAAACTTTGGACATGTCGGCTTAAGAAGACACCAGTTCCCAAAAGGTTACTAGTGAGAAAACAAAAAGACTGTGTTGTGGACTATAACAGAGATCCAAATAAATCCAAACTAAAACTAAACGAGCTAATTACATTTGAATGAATACGTACCAGTGAGAAATTCGTAAACTTTGTCCTTTTGCAAATAAGACAGCGATAAAACGCATAGCCAACAAAGCCCTAACGTCACGAGGGGATGAAAAAAACGTATATATTCTAGCTTTAGAATAATCAATATTTAACCAGCCGGAAGCGATCAGGATACGACGGAATATTTTTTGTTTGTCGACGGTGACGCTTAAATGCCACCAGGCCCTCCGAAATTGAATATAATTTTTACTGAGAATATTCCACGAGGGAAAAATTATTATATTCGCCAACGTCCTATCCTCTTGCCATCCTGGTTTCCAACACAGCGTGCTGATGATAATTGACAAACATCTGTTATTTGCAATATGTACGCATTAATGAATGCTTCTGCGAAATATCGTGCCATGTACGAATTATACAAATTACTGCTAAATAAATTAACATATTAATCATGTATCGTTCTGTTGCAACGTTGTATTTGATAACGATATCTACAATACCGAAATTGATATGCGTAATTAATTGTCTTAAACGTTATCTATGGTATTTTGGGGATTAGATGCTATCAAATATTACCTCTGTGAACAGGTGCCTTTTGAATACATTTCTCTATAATTTTGAGAACAAAGATCTTTTGTTATCATTTACAGAAGGGATACCGAAAGTTTTGTGCAGAGAACACTTTTTTAGCACGATAGAACAATGTTAGTTACCGTATTTGTTCCTTGATCTTGAAGTTATTTTTACTGATTACCACGATAAACAAAATGGTATATAATTAACTTTCATTCTATTACTGTGGGTAAAAATTCAAAAAGCATGCACCATAGCAACTCCAAAACAACACCATGTTAACAACTACAGAGAACGTTTTGACAACTACGCTTTAGTCACGAATTTCTTTAGGTACAAGTGAAGCGACTGTTTAAAAAACGATTTTTTAGTTTTTTGGTAATTTGTTGTAAAACTAAAATATCAGGTCGCTCCCAACCCGTAACAAAACTAGCGGAAAGCCTCGAAGTGTCTAATGAATCTGCCTTTTTAAAATGACACTTTGCACTCACTTCATCAGTGCACGATTGTGTGAATTTTCGTAGAGCATTATAAACATCAGGATTGTCAAAGACAAACTTTCAGACTGTCTCTCTAGGCCCCTCCTCCAAAATGTTGTCTTCTTTCGATCCTTCTTAATACATTTATAAAAGCCTGTTGTAAATTTGTAATGTTATATGTTTATTGCTATTTAGATATTGTTTGTCAGATTTCGATTAATTTATTCATTACTAATTTGCAAGTTAGACTCGTTGAAAGTATCAAAATTTACAAGTGATTTCCTTCCTATGTTTCTAACTGAAACATCATCTGAAAGTTTAGTAGTACGTAGACGGTTTTATTTTGTGCACAGCTGTTGTAAATTAAAATATTTTGTGTCACTTAAAAGAAAATTTTAATTGGTAAAAGTAATGTAATCATTTTCTCTGGTTTATTAACAATATCTATAAAATCTTGCATCATAACAGCATAAAATTTTTAAAATGTCATGTTGTTTTGAACTGGCAATAGTATTTTTTAGTCTTTCAACATCCAAGAACCATTTCAGTATATATGCCTACCAAATTCTTATAATGAGATACCTGAATTCGGAGTAATGCAGCTCATTGATAATAGTTGCGTTTGCCACGAAATTTTCTTTACTAATTACTGGTGAAAGATTTGTTAAAATAAACACATTAAGCCTCAATTTTATTCCAAGATTCTGGAGTTTCTTTTTAGTAAAATCCTTAAAGGTTTATATTATTTCGACCGGCCAGGAATGCTTAAAACCACAAGAGTATTTGATTTTCGTGCGAAATTTTATTTTGAGTTTCAGTTCGTAAGCTTATTTCTTATTGGCTGTAAGGGTTATGCAACACTACCGAAATATTTTATTCAATCGACATTTTAGCTCACTACAGGGTGTTCGGAAATTGAGTTCGGAAACTTGGAAGAAAGATTAAAAGTGGTAAAATAATAGTGGTAAATCCTGTAATAAAAACGATATCATAATATTTTCCGAGTTTTAGCTTGTCAAAAATTGATTTTTTTGATTTAATAAAAATCATAATAGTGTTTCAGAAATCTGTCACTAGAGAGCACTTTACTTAAAACATATTTTTTATTTTCCCTGTATTTTATTTTAAGCAGAATCACGAACCGTCAAAAATTATTACTCTTGTTTTAAGTCGATAAGTGTTATCGTTCAGACGGGAATAGATTTTTTATTCTCGGCTCGAATTTTACGTGTATCTAAATGAGATTTCAACTAATAGGACTTAATAAAAAAAGTCATTTTCACAATCCGTTCAAAATTAGTTTCTATTACAAGAGCGAATTATCCAACTGCTACTGTGATGACCCACAAGGAATATTCAAATATCTACTAAATATCGCAAAAAGTATTTTTGCTACGGAAGAGCAAATAGAAATGCAGATCAAGCACGACGGCTTTGTATCGAGGCATGTCCCCATAGAAACGTTCTATCTGCTAAGACATTCATCAACATACACAGAAGATTTGGTGAAAGAGGATCATTCCAACCTGATAATATGTGGAGGCTGACCCGTCAATCAATACGAGAAAACTTGCTGCGCAGGAAAGAATTGCTTGCTCTACAGTTTCATGTTGAAAGGGTTTAACCACTGTATGAGGATGATGAGCAATTGAGAGTAATTTTATGCAATCAAATTTTAGGAAAAATTCAAAATTACCCGCAATCCTTAAATGTCATTTTGTTCACTGACGAGGCTGCATTCAGTCGTGATGGCTATGTAAATTTTCGAAATATGCATCAATAGAACATTGAAAATCCACATGCACAAATCGAAGGAAAACATCAACGCATGGGCAGCGATTATAGGACCTCATTTCTTTAATGGATCACTTAACGGGGAAATGTATTTTGCAATTCCTCCAAGCGGAACTACCAGTTTTGCTGGAACAGGTATCCTTGCCATGGAGATAAAACATATGGTTAATGCAAGATGGCGTTCTACCCCATTTTACATTGGCTGTACGAAGGTATTTAAATCAAGCATTTGAACATCGATAGATAGGTTGGGGCGGTCCTCGCCCACCAGACCT